AATAACAGTGTTGTCTCAAGAAAAATTGAATCCCAGCACTGTAGGAGGCTGAAGCAGGAGAACCTCCAAATTCCAGCCCAGCCGGCGCTTTAGGGACTTAGTAGGACTCTGTTTCAAAATAATGAAAATAGTAATCTGAGGATGGACAAAGGCCCTGCATTCAATCTCCGGTACCGCCCAAAAATTCAGCTTTTCCCCTTTTTACAACATGGCTGCACTGCTAAAATGTTTTATTTTTTTCTAAATATTTTCTAAACTTTACTGGAACTCTCTTCCATAAAGAGGAAATTTGTTTGGGTTTTTTCAAGACAAGGTCTCGCGAGGTAGTTCAGGCTGGCCTTGAACTCACTGTGTAGCCCAGGCTGACCTCAAACTTAAGGCAGTCTTCCTGCCTCAGCCTCCCAAGTGTGGCGTTACAGGTGTGAGCCACCACTCTTGGCTAATAAGAGGAAATACACTGTATAATTATCACAGAAGGATAAGATGATGTCCTCAAAATAGATTTCTAGAAGTCAGTGATTCAGCGAAGGGCTCTGAGTATTTTTACTGCTGGTAATACACTCCTGACAGTCCTCTGGCGTTGTGAGCTTTGCATGACTCCTTTTCAGCCAACACAGAACTTCTCTCTAACAGGGAAGGAAAAAGCCGTCTCTCATTTGCACTTGTTTGATAACCAGTGAAGTAGAGTAAGTTTAATGTAGCCAATTTCCTAATATAAATTGTCAAATATTTCAAAGTTTTCTCATATATAAGTGACCCTTTCCTCAGTGACCCTTGCTCTTGATGTACTTCCCATTCTATAAGGAACTTTGTGTGTGTGTGTGTGTGTGTGTGTGTGTCTGTGCTTGTGCATGCACACACCTATGGTACTAGGCATTCACCCAGGGCCTTTGCGCAGAGCTACATCCCCAGCCTGCTTTGTGTTGTTGTCCTTTTTAGCACAGAGTCTCACTAAGTCTAAATTGCTGGAGCTGGGGATTTAGCTCAGCAGCATAGCGCCAGCCTAGCAAGCGCAAGGTTGTGAGTTCAATTCCCAGTACCAAAAAAAAAAAAAAAAGTAAAAAAATTTTAAAAATAAATAAAAAACTAAATTGCTCAAGAGGGGCTCAAATTTGCAATCTTCCTGCCTCAGGCTCCTAAAATTCCTAAGATTTCACATGTGTACCACACCAAGGTTGAATTTAGGTGGTATCAATAGTGGCAGATCAGCTGGCACAGTAGCCATCAAGAATTAAACATTAGGGGCTGGGGATTTAGCTCAGCGGCACAGCACCTGCCAGGCAAGCACAAGGTCGGGAGTTCAATCCCCGGTACCAGGGGAAAAAAAAAAAGAACTAAATGTTGGGCCAGGTGGTATGGCACTTGCCTATAATCCAAGATACTCAGGAGGCTGATTCAGGAAAAACATAACTCTGAGGCCAGCCTGAGCTACACAGTGAAATCCTGTCTCAAAAAATAAAATTTAGAGGTGTGGGGCATAGTGGTGTACACCTATAATCCTAGCACTCAGGAGGCTGAGGCAGGAGGATCAGAGGATTGCTGTGAGTTCAAGGCCAGCCTAAACTACATAGTGAGTTCAAAGCCAGCCTGAACTACCTAGTAAGACCCTTTCTGCCGTGGCCGGTGGCTCTCAAAGGTGGAGGGGGGAAGAAGATGGAGAAATAAAGGTAAGAGACAGAAAGCCATGGTCAGGTGAAGCCCTCACTCCGGATGGGAGGAAAAGAACTGCTCAACCACCATAGAACTTGTATTTATACATTTGGCAGGTTGGTGTCACATGACGCCCCTTTGCCTAGCAACCCACTGCTTGGATTGTCTCCAGGTTCAGTGTTCTCTGGACCAAAGCAGCTTGCTCAGGTGGCTCTCATTCTCCAACCTGCCTTGTCTCGCCCCCACACCTGTGCTCAGTCTCCAGCTTCAGCTGCTCCCTACACCTGTCTCTCAAAAAAGTGGCATTGCATCCTCATCCACCTGATTCACTGGACGTGGCATACATGATTTTCCCAAAGTCAAAATGACCATGAAAGCTGGGTGTGGTGTCACACACCTATAATCCCAGCACTTAGGAGGCTCAGGCAGGAGGATCGGGAAAAGTTTGAGGCCAGCCCTGGAGGTACATAGTGAGTTTAAGATCAGCCTGGACATAGTGATACC